TATATATATATATATGTGTGTGTGTGTGTGTAGTGTATAGTATATATATATATATATATATATATATATATATATATATGTATATGTATATGTTTGTATGTATGTATGTATGTATTTATATAAACTTGTTGACACGGGTATTTCAAGTGCCGAATTTTTGCTTATATGTATAGTAAGCTACTATATTTCTGATAGTATTTGAATTGTACACACCTATCAGGTTATTCTGGGCCGATCGTAAGTTTGGAAAGGCCCGTGAATGGTTCAATAGGACATTAAAATCCCAAACCGACATAGGTGACGTGTGGGCTATGTACTACAAGTTCGAGAAGCAGCACGGGACTCCAGTAAGTTTATATGTGTGTGTGTGCTTGTGAATACATATCGTGAGTCTTCTGAGCAATGTTGTTTAGAAGCTCGACGTTGGACCGATGTGATTTTACTTTCGTATCTTTCTGCTTTCTGCTGTGAATGTATTATATAGCTACAATTAGAGGTCTCTCTTCCAATACATAAGGAAAGCGGGATCTGCTGGACTTGTTCGCATCATTTAATACTAATTTCAGGCTACTTATAGGCATTTTATGGTAGTATGTCTGCCATGTGAATGCTGGTGGTAGGTACATCACCACCAATCTTGACTTATAATTTAACTGACACTTTCATTTCGAACAGTGGCAGAAAGCAGTTGTGCGTTATCAATCGTTGCACAAGCGCTGAATCAGTGTGATACGCCACATCGTTGCCATTTTGGTGTCATTTTTGCGTCACCCCATTCTGATATCTGAGTGTTAGTTTGTTGCCACTGTATTGCTACGACAGTACTGCTTACATGCCAAGAAATTGCCACGGCCCTTTTGGTCAGTATCTACAACGGGATGTGAACCCTGTTTTGTCCTACATGCTGCCGCCAAGTTGCTTCATGTATATTAACTTATTCATACTTGCATGCTAATCTATTGCCACTTTATATCCATTCACCTGGCACTGGTCAACTTCGCTGTTACTATTTTGTCGCTATTTGCTAACAAAATGCACCCCGCCTTCGCGTTCAACAGCAACAACTACAGGATGTGGTCAAACGCTGCATAGCCGCTGAACCGAAGTACGGTGAACTGTGGGCCCCAACCGCAAAGAATGTGAAGAATTACAAACTCAAAACTAAAGATATCTTATTACTGGTCGTAGAGCAGTTGGATGAGAAGTTAGTCATATGAGGGAGGACGATGATAAGAGTAATAAACGACTACCTGTCCAGTAACCCAATGCCCAAATTTATTTACGTAATTAATTGTATAAGTTAATAGCCGCCGAACCGAAGCACGGCGAAATGTGGGCCCCTACCGCAAAGAATGTGAAGAACTAGCAAACTCAAGACTTAAGATTTCTTAAGTACTTGCTGATGCGGTTTGTATAGGCTCTGACAGGTTGCTACCATTTAGGATTCGAACACAAGACCATCACAATTTTAAAAATATCGCTCCATGTTTGAAAAAATGTATGATTAACCTTGCCACTGTTGTAACATCTGGTTACTACCAAGTATAAGAAGTCAAACTCAGATCCCGGATCCTGAGTTTCTGGTCCAGGCCCAATACAAATATTCCTTTTATTGAAGGCATCAGAAATATGGCGGGAACATCGGCTGCCTAGAGAGAAACTCTCAATTGAAATCTCAAGTCTACTCTAGCTAAGAGAGACGTACTTAAGAAAAGGTGTGTTGTTTTCTATGGTTGTATCTTTCCAGCTACTCTCATATTATTATACACTATTCTTGTGTGTGTTGCTAATCATGGATGAAAAGCAAAATTCAAGAAGTGTGTCAAATCATCTGACAAGGCCGTAAAAATCTTACATAATTTCAAAGCTGAAGTTGGGGGGCTATTGATCGGAAAAACTGTCCGTGAAAAGTCCTGGACAACGGAAAGTAAAAAGATATGTGTGATAGGTGTGCAGAACTGGTGAAGATGTGGGTGACGGCGATGCCCAAGCGGGTTCCGGTGATGGTAAACTCAACAAAAAAAGATACAGGCCATGAAGGAGAATCTGCTCAGGCAGACTGGACCACAGCAAGCGGCTGTCACAGAAGCAAGAAAACAATTACCTGTCTGTGAGGTATGAAATAGAGCGCAACCGCAACTATCGCGGCATCGCAATCACAAATGCCATATCGATGATATTAACGTTTGTAGCCGTC